TATTCCTCTGATTATTTTAAGTATAATAACATACTTTCCGACCACATATCAATATGCTCAGCACATTCTAACATTATATGAATACATTGAAGTGCAAATGATTCAAATTTAATAAAATAAATAATAGTATCATTGGTTTTATATTGTTCATTTTCGAATATATCAATTAATATATCAATAAATTGCATATCAATTAAATGTTGATAACATATGAGAAGATTTTTTTCAACAATAACTTTACATAAACGTAAAAGAACAGATAATGATGGAATTTTTTCTTCAATTAAATGTCCATCACGAATACCTTGAATAAGTTGAATAATAAATGAACTATGATGATCAAGTATAAGACGAGCAATATCAGGTATAGTTGAAACATTTGTTAATAAATCAAGTGATTTTTGTTTCACACATCGAAGACGTGGATCCTTAGAAGAAGAAAAAACAAATGTTTTGAAAGAATGATAATAATAAGTAAAACGTACTTTATACATCATAAAAACAATATCAATAGCACCTGATTTAAGAATATCATTAACAAGTTGTTGAAAAATAACAAAGAAATCTATTGATCATGAAATCGTCTTGGTGGTTGACCTAATTGTAAATCACGAAATGTATAGTTTGATTGTTCTCCACGAGCTAAACCAAAGAGTAATTGAGATAAATTAAACAATGCTTCAAGTTGACGTGTAGCTATAATTAAGTATATGAATTATTTCAAAAAAATATTATATTAACATACCGATTTCAGTAAGAGGAATTGTTGTTGGATTCTCTGCTTTAATATTCCATGGTGATATAATTTTAGTTAATTTTATATTCTATATTGAAATATGAGAGACATATGAAGACGAAAAAAACAACTGATATTCTTACTCGAATAGTAATTACATCAAGAAGTAAATCACTATCAAATGTATTAAGATCAGGATATGAATACCATCCATCAGCAAATTGAATAATATCCATATTATTAATATCATTTGTCATTGCTGTACAATTATTTTTATCATAATCAGCAAGTGTTGCATTTTGATCAAGTGATGTTAATACTGATCGATTAGCAGCTATACACCGCATATTTATTATATAAAGATCTATATAATTACGATTAATAATTGTTTTCTAGAGAAAAAATAAATTCTTTATTCATTGTTCTTATTGTTCATAATCGAATTGTTGGTTGATTAGAAACTACCATACATCAATTAAATCCAATAGAGGACACTAGTGTCTAGATAGAGTTAATTGACCGATAGATTCTTTCTTTTCCCGTCTATGTACTCGGATAAATACAATATATTTATTGAAGTAGTTTTTTTTGTAAGAATTCAATAATCTTCTATGGCATTCCAATCTTATTGTTTCGACAAGGCATTGATTCTTTTGTATATGATATTTAGCTTTTGACTTTTTGGTTTGTTGTTACTGACAAAAAGAAAATGATTGATGCGTATTTCCTTCTTTCTCTCTCTCTCTCTTTCCCTCGTAGTCGTCGTTAATTGCCAACGCGTAACTGGCATGCAATCAACACTGATGGTTTGTTGAACAATGAAATAAATGAATACCATATGGAAAAAAAATATGGAAAACTTTACGCAAGAGAAGAAAAAACGTCAGTTAACTTTAGAATATTTATGCATCAATTTCTTGGAGAATTATTTTCAAATTATATTAATGGATCTGTATATATATATATTATAATAGGATGAAGAAGAAAAAAAAGTACTTATGTTTTTTTTTATCGAAAGGAATAAAACAATAGATAATGATTTATTCTCTGTTTGATTCGGCTTATTAAGATATAATAGTATTCTATTTCAGTTAGGATTAATATTTTATAGAGTGGTGACAGGAAGGAAGATGAGAAAACGATGAAGAGCTCAACATGAGCTTTGCTTGCTATCAGCAGAAAGATAAATTATGTTTTTACCCCATCGGACTGCGCGACTATATATTTCTGGTTTCCTTTTTCCCCCCGTCTATCCATTTTTTAGATCTGTATCTTAGCTTTATACTACGGGAAACAGATAGATTTTCTTCTTTGTTTCTTCCATTCTTCTTTCTGCTTCACACAGTTCTCTGAGTACTATTATTCAGATACAATCTATGTCGTTTCTCGTCTTCTCGCTGTTCTTCCATTGCTATCGTCATCTAATTGCCATCACCACTCGTACCATAGAACGAAGCTGGTTGGTCTTATTACATTTTTCTGTTACATCTATGCACGTTCACATGCATTCCTTATGCTTAGTAATGTCTCTTCAACAAATAATATAGAGACGAACAGAAATAACGATAGAAAGATAGTTATTTTTGGATGTGCTTATGTAGATTGTTCATCAGTAACTTTCGCTTTTCTTCTTTCAATCAAGTAACACGTTCCGGACAACACAAAGTCAAGGAAAGAAATAACCAGTTAAAGAAGAAAAATTAACACTCGTTCTTGTTTTCTCATCTCCCTCCCTCTCTCTCTCTCTCGTTTTCCTTCTTATACGACTTTCAAAAGCTATTATCGTTTCTTGTATATATATATATAGATAGATAGATATATACACATAGATATATCTATATATATGTTTATTAATTATTGGTCTGAAACAACAAACCCGCAGTCGCGTTGTCATTACTATGTATTCTTTCTTTTTTTTTCTGTTACATTGCTTCTCTTTCTTCAATAGTAATCAACAACAATAACAAAAACAGAGACAAATATTTTCAATACATAAT